GGAAACACAATATCCGGATCGCCAAGCTTGTCTTCCACGCAAAGGAGAGTCCCATACGAACACGGGACGGAGTCTTGAGTCTTGTATCTTCACGCTCCAATAGTCCGGACGATGTATACAGTCCGGCTGTCCGGATACCCCCTAATCCAGGACTCCCTCACCTGGCTACTGGATTATGTGACTCAAGTCGTCAGTGTTCGGTGGCCGGACATAAGTGCCCTGGAAATTAGTCCTAAAGGCATCTTCCAAGTCTTCCTAGGTTCCAATGGAGTTTTTTGGGAGGCTATTTAGCCAGTGTCATGCTGGCCCCTTCAGCTTTAGGGGAAAATATTTAATGGCGTGGAGATCATCTCCTCGAGCCATATGAATGTGGAGAAGGAAGTCTTTAATCCAGACGGCCGGATCCGCCGTTCCATTGTATGGTTCAATGTTTACGGGTTTAAACCCTTTCGGAAACTGATGTTTCATAACCTCATCAGTGAAGCATAGGGGGTCTGCGGCTCCTCTGTATCTAGCAATGCCATGGCGGAGATCGGCTGACATATGGGTTCGGTACTGATCCCGAACATTGTAGTGATCGTCACGCCGGGTTCATAGCCATTATCTTGTGCCGGGGCACACCCCCTTGATCCATAGATGGATTGGGTCTGACCTTCTTTATAGGCTAGGTCGTGTTGCAATTCGTATGTATAGCCCGTGGCTGAAGTTTCCCTGCCTCTTCGGCGAGGGGGCGCGGGTTGGTATTCAGCCTAATATGCCGCTTTATCCCGTCCACGTGGTGGTCGGTCTGGTTGGTCTGCCTGATTGTATTTCGACAGTATTGGTTCAAGGACTTCGTCGTCGAATTGAGGCAACAGCTTACACCTAGGGTAACTTTTGACCGGTTGCTCTTGGCCGTATTCCTCTGCGGCCAGGACCTTAGTCCACCTTTCATTCAGCGTGTCTTGCTCTTCTTTGAGCTGCGGCTACTTTCTCTTCAGGCTCCGGGCTGTAGCAATAAGATGTCGCTTGAAGCGTTCTTGGTCGAGGGGTTCCTCTAGGACAATAAAGTCCTCGTCATCGAGGCTGACCTCCTCTTCGGATTCTGGCATGTAGTTGTTGTCCTCCGCATCTTCGTTGTCAGCACGTCCAGGGCTGTATTCACATTCTTCCTGTTCGTCCTGTTCGGATGTGGGCTCGATAAGGTGTTCATTATCTTCGGTGCCCTCTGGAGTCTGGTTGTCTCCGGTGCCGGTATTACTGTCCTTCTCTCGACGCGATCGGGAGCGACGCCACTGATGTCAGCGCTTTGGTAGTTTATCGACGGGTCTATCCTCATCTGGGTTTGGGTTTTCCTCGTCGTTCTTCGGAGTGTCCGCCATGTATACATCATATGTTGAGGTGGCCGTCCAACGCCCCGTAACGGGTGGGACTTGGCTTGGTTCCGCGTCGGCATCGTCATCCATGCCATCGATGTCTTCGGACGCATAATCTAGCATGTCGGTTAAGTCCTCAACAATGGCTATCAAGTGGGTGGTGGGTGGGGCATAAAATTCCCCTCTCTCAGCCCCCAGTCCGAGCTGGGTGTAGTTCGCAGGTAAAGCCTCCATAATGGCGAGAGACTGCATCAGACCGAAAGCTTCATCTAAGAGCTGGAGCGGGAACCGTGGGTCTGCCGCGATGTGTTCGGCTTGGACCGCCTGATCGGATCCGCTAAGTGCAGGCCTCGGCAGTTCTGAGCGGTTTCCCAGAGCCAGGTTTAAGCCCGCGTCTGGATCTTCGGAAGGAAGTTCGATAAAGGGATTAAGTCCGGCGGGGTTTACGCTCCCGTCTTCGGATAATGAGACCTGCCCCGGATCTAAGGCCGAGGTGGGTGTTGATCCCTGGATGGGATCTGATAGGGGATCCAAAAATTCTTCTTGGATGGGACACAGAGTGGCGATCGAGGCCGCAAATCCATCAAAAAAAAGATCTCCTTGGATGTCAGCAACGTAATTCAGGTTTCCAAACCTGATCTGATGGCCGGGGGCGTAATTGTCGACCTGCTCGAGGCGGCCGATCGAGTTGGCTCGAAGCACAAAGCCACCGAACACAAAAACCTGCCCAGGAAGAAAAGCCTCCCTGGACGCAGCGTCATTGTTGACGAAGAGGTGAGTCATTGATCCTGCTGTCGATGATACAACGGAGCTCTGAATGAAAGCACCAATATCAGTATCAGAACCGGCAGATCTTGGGTAGGGGGGCCCAAGTTGTGCGCCTGAGGATCAATAGTAGCAACGGAGAAGGGACACAATGTTTACCCAGGTTCGGGCCCTCTTAATGGAGGTAAAATCCTACTCCTGCTTGATTATATTCGAGGGTATAGAGGTTACAAGAGTTGATTTACCACGAGATAGGTTTGGCTAACCCTAGATACCTAGCCTAGCAATATTATGATCCTGCCTCCACTCTACCCTCCGGTTTATATAGACACCGGAGGGGCTTAGGGTTTGTACAAAGTCGGTTTTACAGAAAGGAATAACACTTGGGACACATATACTTGCCATCCACGTACGCGAGAGTCCCCACCAGATACGGGAGAGGATCTTCGATCTTGTATCTTGGCGGCTCAACAGTCCGGCCCACATCAGTAGACCGGACGCCCGAGGACCCCCTAATACATGACTCCCACACGAGGTACGATGTTTCCGCCATCGCACATCTGGATCATCGCCATTCGTGACACGGGGTCCAGCAGAAATGACTGTGCATGTGAAGGAGGAGATGCATCTAGTTGAGCTGGTCACACACACACACACAGACTTGCGGCTACTGCGCAAGAAATGGACCGGTGACATTACCATACATGCTTGCAATTTATAGGTAATATGTCGACCTTGTGGATGTGATTATGGGACACGCTACATATAGATAATATGACGACCTTCTGAGTGTTCTGTATATAGTATGACCACCTTCTGAATGTTCTATATATAATATGACGACCTTTACATGTATTGTCGGAAACCATATTGACATAATAGAAGTCGGTAAATAAGACCATGTGTCGTTGTTTGGCTTCAAAATGAAGTGTTTGATTATATATTGAACTACACTGTTCTAAGCATGTTTCTCATTTTATTACGGTATATTAAATATCTATTTTTAACTTTCTGTTTCAATATGCAAGTGGACATGAATTGCTACTCTTGTTTTTTTCGACAAAGGTGAATTTTATTGGCTCAAATGGAGCATCAAGATGATACATCACACTGAGCACACACGGCCTCTGTATAACTAAGATGCACACAGCCAACCCAACACACACGCACACATAGAAACACACCAGCAACTAGCGAAGTCATAAGACCAAAAGCTATGTGCAGGTGTGGAAAAAAGAAAAAAAAACAAGAAATAAGCCCCAAAGCGATCAGATGAACGATCGACAAACTACAACTGAGACCATATCCGCACCAACCATCGACACCACATGGATGACAAGGATCTTCAACAGCAACGCCTTCAGGAAGGAAGCGACACTCAAGCGACGCCGTCACCGGAACCAACCACAAAGGTCAGTATCAAAGTTTTCACCCTGAAGAATCAGTCCGAACATACCCGAGCAATGCCTCCAACAAGGTAACGATGTGAAAAACATCGCCATTGCCAGGAATAACCACTTGGGTTTGTCCTAGGCTTTCGCCCCGGAGCTCGAGACCGGGTGCACATAGCACCACCATCCAAATCTCACATGTGTTGTCTCCACAGCTTTTCCGCTATCCGAGCAGCTACAATTGGATCGCCGCTACTCCACAAACAACCATCTGCATCAAGTCATTGTCCATAATTTATAACCCACCACTGAAGTCATCCATCAGACCAGGAGATAAAACCTCCCGAAGTCTTTTTGATGCTGTCGTGGATCCGTATGAAGTCGCTGCAGAACAATCTACATACGCCACCATCCGGCCAATCCGATCTAAATCACCTCCACCATCCAGCACATCACCGCAGCCCCAACAATCCGGAGACCGCGTTGCTGGAGCAATGCCAAGACCACTGTTGCCTCAAGGACCGCCACGCTGGAGCCACCACCACAGATCGAGGGAGGTGGGCGCTGCCAGAGACGAGGGCCGCCATGCATGAGGCATATTTGCGACTGGCCGCGGCTAGGTTGGATCTTGGAAGACGTCAGGAGCGGCTCATGGGGAAACAGCCCGCCGCCACCATGGCCACTGCCAGTCCGCGACTCCATCCAACACCAGCCGCCGCAGACCACGACGCCATCTTGGGGAGGAGGTCAGGGGCGCGCGCAGCAAGCTAGGGGATCGATCTGCCCCGTCGCCACCATCCGCCATCGCAGAAACTTGCTGCCGCCGCAGGTGTGCCCCAGCGCCGCCCACACGGCCACCTCGGCAGCACCACCACTAGCACCCGGGACCGCCGCCCCGGCTCCTAAGCTCCGCCGCCTAGATGCCTCGTCCGGGGCCGCCGCGTCGTGCCGGCCGGAGCGCTCCACGCGCGAGGGATCTCAGCGCGAGAAGACATCCCCGCCACCGCCGTCGGCCAAGCAGGCTTTGCTACTCTTGTATGTGTCCTAGTCAACTACATTTTTCTTTTACGAACAATTATAAACATAAACACGTCAGTCAGAATTACGAAATGCGCACATGTCTATTCAAGATGAAAATTACCCTACAAACAGTTCGCAGCATCTCATCCATGATTGTCAGTGCCTTAGGTAGTGACTTATTGTTTATAGCTATGCACTGTTTATAGCTATGCACTGTCACTGACAAGGTGCACCTTTCAGTGTACTTGGAATTCAGAATGAGAGATTGTATCCTCCATTAAGCACCCAGCATAATCAGATAATTCTTCTGTTCAATTTAAAGTAGAATACAACAAGAGCTCTTGATTAGTAGTACATAGTAGGCTGGTTTAAGCTAGAAACCATGGGTAAAAGAGAGCATTGGATTGAAATATTATCACGTCGACCCAGCGGAGGATATCTGCGGTAAGGCATCAACTAATCCATCTATTCATTCCTTGTTCAAGTCATCCAGGTAAGCATGATCATACCTGTGATTTTAACAAATAGTGTTATGCAAAAGTTTAATAGACAAAAACTCATTTGAGAAGGAAACTTTTTGTTAATTCTACACAAGCTGTTCTAGTGTGACATTCTTCAGTTTCTGCTGGTAATGCACATTGCATTTTATTCAATTTTGTATTTGAATGGTAGCAATCTATAGTTCAGATATATTGTACTATGTCCAAAAAGAAGATTTATAAATCAATTCATATTTTTTCTAAAGTATGAGCTGCTGATAAGAAATTTCTTTGTTGCTGAAATAATTCATATTAAAATAAAAAAACATAGTTAATGGTAATAAGGTAGGTATCATACTTGTAGTCTTGTATTAATAGCTAAAGAAAACAATTACCCCATACACAAGGAAGGGTCACAATCAGGATGAAAATGCTCCTGTTGATTAGCTTGATTAGCATGGCCACTAGACCCACTAGGTCCAACATCCTGGCAAAACATCTGTAGAACACTTTCCGCACTAGTTTCTTGTATCTGGTACAACAAAGAGATAAAAGTTGAAACATGCATAGCTGATCACACTTCCTTTCAAGATATGTAACTGAACTAAGCCGTTAATATACCGTTCCATAAAAAACAGTCATGGAATTTTAACAACAATACAAATACCTTCTTTTGCCAAAAAATTCTATGATTCTTGTGCATTTCCATATTGAACAAACAAAAATATACATAATGAAAAAATCGTTGGAAGGGCAGGACATTTCTAATCACGCCATGTCTCGTATTTTTAGTTGCACGACCTTTCTTTA